TGAAGTGAAATTGCTGGCTCAAAGGGCATGCACATTTCAGTTTTGTACTATAAAACCCAAAAGGCTGAATCAATTCACTTCCCACTCATGTATGAGATCTGTAATACAAGGAGTGAACAAGCTCTATGAAGTGAATAAGTTCTCATTATGTGAGATCTCACACTTACAAATCTACATGGAAAAGCAAGCATCAATATAATCAGAAAATATACACAAATATGTTGAACATTTTTGAAACTGGATCTCGACATCTACCCCCAAACAATATTCTCTGCTTACTACCTGACTATTTTNGACACCGAGGGTTGCGATCCCGTTACCGGTCACGAAAAAAGACAAAAAAGGGAAAAAAAAATATGTCAACTCAGTTGGGGCTATATTTCCTTCCCATCATTCCATTATCAGCCGCCTTAGATGTGTTCATCTTGTCCTACTCCCCTGGCTCTTGCTATGCACCACAGACCTGTTCCTCTTTATGACATTTACTGACCTCCTGTCAGCATTCTTTTATTGGTTTTCATAGTATATTTTATTGCTGAAAACATTAATAGTTTCTTTTGCTCAATTCTTAACCAAACCACAAAACAGCAAAGTATCATTTACAAAAAATTAGATTGGCATTGTTGGTTCCTTTGGTTAGTTCTTAAGAATTCTCATTTGTTATATTGTTCATATTTTAAAATGATTTTGTATGTTTATTTGGTCGTATGTTCTTCTTGAAACATGTATGTTCTTGAAACAGCAAGGCTGTTTTAAAAAGAACAAATGTACACCATCTACTGTTGACATTGTGTACAACACTTTCACTTTGTGTATTTGCTTTGAGGCAGGCACCTGAAAAACATTATTCTGTTAAAGGATTTTTATATAGCCCTCAGGAAAATAATGGATCAACATCTTAAGGGTTCACTAACTGGGCAAAAGACACTGTATAAATGGAAGGTTTAATTTAAGATGTAACATTTTGATCAACCTCATTCACAAAAATTGCTGAAAGATCATACAGAGATAAAAATAGGGAAGACAGGCATATAAATTAAACTATTTGTTAATACTATAAATTGGGAAACAATTATTAATTATCAGAAAGCAGCATTTATCAAAACAGTAGACATTCTTTTAGTGTACTATGTAGAATACAAATTTAAATGGGATTAAATACTCCTGGACCCAGAGGTAATGTTTGGTAGCTCATTACTACGTATTCTTACAGAAGCTTTTATACGTGCATATGTGTATGTGTGGGTGTATATATATCTACTTATAAAATTACATATAAACATGCGTATCTTTGTTTATATGAGTGTATGTATGCATATGTGCACATATACGTGCATATACATTTAAATATAAACCTTAGTTTTTTAACAAAAATCGAATGTTTACTTCTTCAACTTATTTTTTAATGATGGTCTTGCACATTGATCATGGGTGATTTTTAAGTAATCCTGCCTCACAGTATTCTAGAATATGGATAACATGACCATATTGTAGTACCCTACTTATGAATATTGAGATTACTATTAGATCTTTACTGTTACAAACAGTGCCGTAGTGATTATCTTTATACATACTTTTCTCATGTGAGAGTATTGCAGTTGATTAGAATCTCTGAAGTGAAATTGCTGGCTCAAAGGGCATGCACATTTCAGTTTTGTACTATAAAACCC